AAGGGACAGACCTGAGCTTTCTGACGATCTAGCTATACGTGGTCAAATCTGATCGCCAGCCATCATTACGGATCGATATAGTAGACGACGAGATCAGCATGGACACATCATCACATTCGACGTTGAAAGCGGCTGGCAAACTGTGACTGACGAGGATCATCGGATTGGGGCTTGATACTCGCACACGTACATTTAACTCCAACCATCGCACAGTCACGCCACCAAGCAGCAGTGCTCTGATCGGAGCTGGAGATCGCCTCATTTACCGGTCAAAGCGGACGATGGCCTGCATCAGAGCACGAGCGAATCATGCAGACACGAATACGCTGATCTTCGTAAATACCATCGTCACTCAGATGCGGTGACGATTGGATGGATTGCGTCAATGCACTAATCGACCACAATGCAACCGCATCGCAGAACTCGATTCACAGAAACTAGGGACAGACAATAGCCTGACAGCGGCCAAGCCTGTAGGACCGCAGCATCGCCGGTATCATGCAATAATCAACGCGACGACGCTAGCCGGGAGATCTTAGCACAATGCCATCTGCCAACCCGCGAGAGGCTCACCATATGGCCGGCGACGGTCAGAACTACACCACTCGGACGACCAGCGGCACAGCCAGGCGCCGGTAGGCATGCCACGCAGCGGAAGGAATTCTCGGCATCTGTCACCGCGGCATGGGACATCGCGTAAAGGACAGTCTCACACGTCTCTCAACGTTTGATCGTGGTATCGTGGAGGACGGCCGACCACATGAGGGCCGATCCATTCTTTGTTTGACACACCTCGTTGTGACGGAACGCGCCATTTGACGGGACACGCCGTTCATCGTCCAGACGTTTTCAACTGTGACGGAGCGCGCCATGTCTTGTCCCGTCTCAACGAGCTGTGTCAAACAAAGAATGGATCGGCCCTCATGTGGTCAGCCGTCCTCCACGATACCACGATCAAACGTTGAGAGAGTAACAGACTGTCCTATTGCCCTTACGGTTGACAAGATTGCCGAGAATTCCTTTGCCGCTCGCGCACCCCTACCGGTGGTGTGAGCTGCCGTCCAGGGTCATATTGAGTAAACGGTCGCGGAGAAACCGGGGTGAAAAAGGGTTCTACCGCTAGCGTGAAAAAAATACAGTCGTCCCGTTGCGGTTGAACCGGCGTTCACTGGCCGCTACAGGCTTGTAGCTGTCGAAGTAGTGTCTGTCATAGTTTGGGTTGCGCTTGGTCGACGGTTGTTGTTTCCTCGTGATTGTGCACCCAGCGGTTCCACTGTGCCCATAGAGTGACGAGGCAGATGGAGCACTCTATTTACTAGATTCGTTCCCAAGCTCTGCTGATCTCCCTCGCCGTGTCCGGAAACAGGCGGCCGATCTCCGCTTTGACACCGGGAGGTGGATCCGGTGCTGTTCGAGATAGCACTGCTGCTTTGTACGTGAGTGTGCGGTATGGACAACCATCCGTGTCCAATGAGCCACAATATAGGCCCAACCCTTCACCGCTCCCTCGCAGTCCCAGATAATATGAATAGTCCCTTCATGCTGTTCTCGTCAAGCTATATAACGTGTGCATGATGAGTCTTATGCTCGGCCCGGGTAGTATCGATTTAACTGATGGGTAGCGATCCAACAGAAGACCCAGACGTGGTAGTCTGTCAAGGCGTGTCTGTGAGCTCAGGTCTGTGTCGGGAGCTGTTGGAGTGGGTATCCCGCTCTGGCGACCGCGTTAACTTGCTCTTGAAGACGTCGAACCGTCTCCGTCAGCGCTGGGTATAAATACCGTTCAGCTTGGAGAAAAGAGTGTTGTTGCAACGCCTTGATGGCGTGCTTGTTATTGATGGTTGGGTTGAGAAATCATGGATACCGATACGGTCGCGGATGCGCTGCGAAAATAAAAGCTCGTTTGTGATTCCGCTGTTAAAAGCGGATCAACTCCAGTTTGACGTCCGGAAGCACCATTGAAACTCGGTGTATGGCCCAGTGGATACCGTTATCCGTATGGTGAAGGATCACACAAGACTTCACACCATCGAGGTGTACTTAGCTTATCCCAAGAGCAACGCCCGGTCGACTAAATGTCCGTATAATTTCTTGAAGCGCCTCCAGTCCATGTCGCAGCTGTAGCTGTGGCAGGATTTTAACTGTGCCTCCCACTGATAGACCAGGGCTGGCTACTATGATTGCAGGTAGCCACGGACCTAATTTCGGGATCGTACAGAAATTGTCTGCTCCCGTACTGGGAAGTGTGACCTGGTAATCTAATGCTGACACTCGCGTGATTTTTAAGTCCGCGAGGATGCAGGCCTTCAACAGGGGGTTTAGACTCGTTGAAAGGATCCGACCCTTTCATCCAAGATCCACGATTTTAAATCCCATTGATAAGCAGACCAGTAAGTCATGTGCTCATGTGTGAACCTATCTGCAAGGATCGGTATCCCGTCGTGAAGTTGCAGCGAGAGAGTCCGGCCCATCCTAGTGGCAACGAGGTGATCCTGCATCCCCTGTATGGAGTTCCTTTGGTTCCTTTTGACCTTCTCCTATTCCTTCCTCTCGGGTGCAAGTCAAGATCATAGTTTTCGTGCTGATGTTCGGCTGAGGACTTCGAGATTTGGGGCTGCACCGGCGGGGTGGAAAAGCCGGGGATAAACTCACGTCTTGGCGGCGGAAGGATGCTGGAACGGCCACGCTACCCACGCCTGTAAATAGCGATCGGGTTTCCGTATAAGCCACTACAATGCGTGCTTCAAATTTTTGTGTACATACGGCAACGTCAACGAAGATGAGCCCTATTCCTCCTGCTCCTCGTGGCGTGTAAAGTAGCCCTGAATTAACTCTGTGTCTGTTCCTGTCCATGGACGTTGAATGATTCCTCAAAAATTGCTTCTAAAGGTTATGTAATTCGCCCCTGGTCCAGCCTGGTAACCGAAAGACGGCCGATGTGAATGATACTACTGGCAGCATAATAGAATCCAGCAGAAAAATCCGGACGGCCGCGCTCGAAGAGATGGCAGCAGCCGTCGCGAGGCGCTTTCTGACGTTTCGTATGCGTAAAGCCCAATTGGCACCCACCATGTCTCGTGTCACCACTTTATACCCTAAGTATCGAGTCGTAGCGCCGTGACAAAGCACCGAAATTCCGGCGTAGTCTGCGAAGTCCACCGCCGTATTAAACCTAATGAGAACACTTTTCTTCCGTTGCACCCAGAATCCAGACAGCTCACCGAACGAATGGACAACTTCCATGACATAGGAAAGTTGATCCGCACGTTGAAAAAAGATGGTTGAGTCATCAACAAAAGCAAAGAAATTCTGCTTGTGACCGGGAAATCGGGGATGCCGCAGTCCTTGAACGTGGGCATTTGTTACAATGTGATGGCTAGGATTTCAGCTGCCAGCAGAAATCGAAGTGGCGCTAATGGCAAACCCTGCCGGATCCCTGTTCCAACAGGTGCAGGGTCGGGTAGAATACCAATTACAAAAAACTCGCCGTGGTGTTGGTGTGTAGATGTCGTACCATCGTGATAAAAGCCCCATCAAGCCCGAACGCCCGCATCACTTCGGATAAAAATCCCCGCGATACCGTATCGTATGCCTTTTGGAAATCTAGGAGTAAAATGGCTCTTCTAGATGCTGCATCTCGCTCTGGTTCATGTGCCGCTGACGTTACATGAGCCATCATCACTATGACAGTTATCGATATCTGTCCGTCATGGACGAAACCCTGTTGTGTGTCCTGAATCGGGGCTCTAATGACGTCTTGGCACGACGCGATATCGTCTTAGCGACAGCCTTGCGGGCTGTCTGTAGCATAGCGATGGGTCAGTAATCCATTGCATCCCCAGAATTTACCTAGTTTCGTAGAGGGATAATCAGACCTTCCAGAAAAGAATGAGGAGTTATCCATTGCATCCACAGAATTTACTCTTATTTCGTAGAGATAATCAGACCTTCCAGAAAAGAATGAGAAGGGGTCCGGCCTTGTAAGAGCTCGCTGCCAAATGTGACAAGGACATGTGCCAGAAGCGCCTGCTAATATTTCAGAAAGTCGTTTCTCAGTCCATCGAGGCCGGCAGATCTATGCCTGTCATGCTCTCTGATGGCAGTCATTACTTCAGGGGGCGTTATGAGCATCATTCGCTGTGCGTAGTCTTCTGGTGAGAGAACGCGATCAGATGGCATTTTGATAAAGTCGCTTAGGGCCTGCTTCAATTTCGTTTTTGGTACTGTGTTGTGAGGGCGGCCGACAATCGGGCTCCATTCTGATGTGAAGTGGTTCGCTATCATGTCCTCACGGCAAAAATGCTGCCCGTGGATCTGAAGCAACCTAGTAGCAGTTTGGTCCTTTTCCCAGTTTAAGGCGCCTTTACAATTGCCACCGCAGACTCTTCATGGTTCGTTCAAAGTGTAAGCCGTGAAAGATGGTCTATGCCGCACGAAGATCATCCTAAATTGTCTGAAGTACGGTGCTTCGGCTGAGAAGATTTCTACGCGCTTGTATCCGAATTATCCGACTGTAACGGGGTGAATCGTTACATAACAATTCATAAGAAATTGTTAATAGAATATAACTATAAGAGTTATATTCTCAGAATATTGTCATAAGGACAAATATTCTGTAGCACTTACGAGTAGTTCCTAATTGGTGGATATAGGCCATTATATCAACCAACGAAGACGCGCCACGACAGACGCACGCAATGAATGGTCAGCAGATGGTTGATGTACACATTTGTATTTAGACATAGTTAGATGAAGATAAATAGTGATTTATTGACAGACATTTACTATGATAAATACAGTTCTACTTTTTACTTTGACCAAGTACTCGCTTCTCCTTACCGTCTTCCTCTGCACGTACCAGTGTACGTGAAGTTACGAGGCACCGCCTTATTCTTTCGTCAGAATAAGTAGCTTGTACTGTCATCAGGACAAGCTTCAGGGTGCCCCGTTACACCTGGTAGCACCTCGTAGTCCGTCCAAGGACCACGTTCACATCTAACATGAATATGTTGGATGATGAAGATGATCAAAGCTTTCACGCTACGCGTGACGGCTACTCCCATTTGAGCGATGTCGAATGGGATGCGGTTGAACTAATGGGTTCAACCATGGGCATCCATGCTGTTAGCGTCATGCTAGAGGCTCTCAATAGAGATGCCCAACATGCTACTATCGCCAAGTTCATTCAAAATGAACTTGACGCCGATCGCGAGAAAGTAGCCTTGCTTCACCAACAAGGTTCTCAACAAGCAGAGTTGTTGAGAGAACAGGGTGCTCAACAGTTTGAACTGTTGAGACAGCAGCAGGCTGCTGCTGGCGGGTCGATGCACTTGCGTCGACCCGAAACCTTGAAGATTGACATCTCCAAGTATAGGGGCGTCAAAGAGGACTCCCTCTTGAGATGGTCCGTCGAATTGTATGACGCCATAAGGGCGCGTCGCATCGACGATGGGGAAATGCAAGTTGCATTTGCTTAATCAAATCTGGCAGGACGTGCCAAGACTTGGGCTTTGGGGCTCAAGTTGCACGACCCATAGGCGTTTGGGTCGTTGGAAGTCTTCAAGTCGCGGCTCAGACAAACGTTTGAACCGCCTAGAGCTGAATTCAGAGCTCGAACTGAACTCTTGAAGCTCAGACAAGGTAAGCGTGATGTGCACGCTTACGCGCAACATGTACGACACCTCACGAGCTGTACAAGTTCCAACCTGGTTGATGAAAACACGTTGGGTTCGGTGTTCATGCAGGGTCTTGCGGATGGTCCCGTCAAGACTCACCTGTTCCGACTTGAACTAGATTCACTAGAACAAGCCATTTCCATTGCGGAATAGGAAGACTTCAGTCTGAGACAGACTCGCGCCAGCTCGACATCATATCGTCAACCGAGACGATATGACAGCGGAGGTCCAGAGCCGATGGAACTCTGTTATGTAGAGAGCGAGAAGGCTCGCTCTACAGACTACAAGAAGTTGCAGAAATGCAACAGATGTCAAAAGACAGGACACTACGCTTACGAGTGTAGTGCCCCTCGTCCAGTGTCTCGCAACACTGGGCGTAATAACCGTCCACCCATGAGAAAGGGGCAGGGACGCGGGTCCGCTGTTGGTTCAAAGACGCAACAACGGGATGGACCGTCAAAAAACAGACAAGATCAGTAGGTGCGGAGCACCCTACTGGTCCAGCAACGTCAAGAGAATTTGTAGGCCTCTTGATGAAGGTTGCTCCCAACATACAAACATTGTGCGTTGCTGCTCTAGGTAATGAGATTTCACTCATTACCTTAAAACTCGAAGTGAAAAATAAGGTGTCCCTTCGAGCTCTAGTCGATTGTGGGGCGTCCAACAATTTTGTGCGACGCCAGTCGCTAGAAGATGGTCACTTCAAGTTCAGTGAATGTGACACACCTCCTACGAAGATGACGGTACGTCTTGCGACAGTCGCATCCGTAACCGTCATGAAGCGTATAGTGAAGATCCACTATACGCTAGAAGATACCCAATACGACGATGACTTTATCGTATTGGATTTGGATGACAAATTTGATGTCATCCTTGGAATACCGTGGCTCAGAAGGTACGAACCACGGGTAAACTGGCAACATCGAACAGTAACGATGCCTGTCGCTTGTTCATCAGATGGCCATCTGATGAACGTTTTGGAGCGTCCACAAGCGTGTGGATGTACTACAAGTGAGTGCGATGGTGTCACTTGTGGTACGGTCGTTAGTACGACTGCACAAAACCTTAGTGTAACAAACGGTTACACTTCGGAGCAAAGTTCCGGCGGCTGTGAGGACACACAGGCTGCGCCGAAGGTCCACCACTCGAATAAGTCGGGTGGACTGGGACAAAGATGTATGCCTAGCGGGGAACATCTAGAAGAGAAACGATCGATCGCTCAGGTTAAGCGAAACGATAATCCTAGATCGACAGGAGAGTCTTTCGTAGAGGATCTCGCTGTGGCTGCGCAACCCCAGCTAGAGGAAGTTAAGGGAATAAGTCCCAATATTACAAATACGGCGGAAATAAGTTCCCCGAAACCCGAGGGAATAAGTCCCCGGGAAGCCGAAGGAATAAGTCCTTCGAAGCCTGAGGGAATGAGTCCCCAGGAAATGACAGAGACATTGAATGTCATAGTCAATAACGGATCAAGTGTAGGCGCTTATACACTTGATCTGATTGCGCCTCCGAAGTTGACTTCGGAGATCACTCAGTTGCCAACGCTCGAACATAAAAGGTTCTTGCGTGATCTGCGTAGTGGCAAAGTCAAGCAGATCTGCGTACTCGTCGCTGACGACGAGTGTGTAACCGACATAAGGTCAGCAACAGTGTTTACTGAGAACGAGAGAGTTCTCAGTAGTTCATCTATGGACGAGAGTGTCCTGGATGAAAAGACACGAATTGAGCGATATGACTCCCAATCGTGGGAATCGCTCAAGACAAATCCTCTCTATGAAGATTTGGTTGAATTCAAGGATGTATTCCCTGAAACTGTTCCGTGCGAATTACCGAAGGATAAAGGTATTCGACACGAGGTCGAGCTTAAACCAGGCTCGAAGTACTGTGTCATGAAGCAGTGGCCACTGCCTCGTGAACAAGTACTTGCGATCGACAAGTTCTTTGCCGATCGTTTAGCTGCGGGCCATGTGAGGGAATCAACTTCCCCACATAGCTCTCCGACCTTCTGTGTGCGAAAAGCAACAGGAGGGTGGCGGATAGTGCATGCATTTAACAAGTTGAATGCTGCAATGGTACCGGCTCAGACGCCGATACCGAGGAAGGACGTAATCATTGATGGTATGTCAAAGAGTACCATCTTTTCGTCCATGGATTTGATGGATGGCTTCTATCAAATCCTCATGCGAGAACGGGATATACCCTATACCGCAGTTAGCACGCCTAGCGGCATGCTCTGGGAATGGCTAGTAATGCCACAAGGGCTTAGTAATGCCCCTGCCACGTTCAACAGATGTGTATCACATCTGTTGAGACCAGTGCGAGAATTCGCACCGAGTTTTTTCGATGACGTATTCATTCATAATCGGGCAATAAATGGAAATTCGGACGTTGAGATTCACAGATGTCACGTCCGACAGGTTCTTACAATCATGCGAAAGCATCAATTGTATGCAAACCTCAAGAAGTGTATATTTGCAGCAAGCGAAATACCACTTCTTGGGTGCATCGTTGGTAATAACGGTGTACGTCCTGATCCCGAAAAGATCAAGGCGATCACCGACTGGCCTGTGCCGGTTGATGTCAAAGGTCTTCGAAAATTCCTTGGGCTAGCGGCGTATGTGCATAAGTATTCACGCAATTACGCCGAGATGACTGTGCACCTCTCTCGTTTGTCGAAAAAGAGTGAGAGGTGGTTATGGAACGCTGAATGTCAGCGCTCCTTTGATGGTATCAAGCAGAGCTTGATACAATCCCCAGTCCTAGCAATAGCCGATCAGGACAGGCCATTTCATGTGGTCTGTGATGCCAGCGATTTCGCAATCGGCTGTGCAATAATGCAGTGCGATCTTGAAGGCGTCGAACGCGTAGTCTGCTATCAGTCGCGTCAGCTGCAACCAGCTGAGCGGAACTATCTAGTGCATGACAAGGAACTCCTTGCCATGAAGTATGCACTCGCGAAGTTCAGAGTCTATCTATTGGGAGATAGACCCTTCATTGTTTACACAGACCATGCGTCGTTACGCACGGCAGTAAACAGCCCGCACCTTTCACAACGAATAACGCGGTGGTTGTCATTCTTTGCAGAATACAACTTTACGGTAGAGTACAAACCAGGACGACTTAATGTCGTCGCTGATGCACTCTCACGTCGGCCCGACTTTGAACCAGTCGTGAAACCCGACAGTGAGACAGCCACTGTTGCGGTTATGACGTCCTCAGTCCCATCTTCAACGTTGCATGATGATGTGAGGCGGGCGGAAGCCCAAGATGGTGAGATTGTGAAGTTGTTGACACATCTCCCACAGCCATCTCGAGAGTCGTTGAAACGATTGTCGCCTGCGTATCTATCTGCATCAGATCGATACACTACTCGCAGCGGGTTACTGTATTACACAGCCGTTTCTGGTGACACACCACGTGTTGTCATTCCAGATGATACTGATCTGCGTTTGCGGATCATGTTCGAGTATCACGATGCTCCTATAGGAGGACATCGTGGCCGGGAGAAAACATATCTCACGGTGAGTCGAGACTTTTACTGGCCAGTATCAGTTTGTGCGAAAGTATGTTCGCGCATGCGAAGTCTGCCAACGAGTGAAGTCAAGTCCTTCACTGCGTGCACCTTTACAGCCTCTACCGGTTCCGGCTGAGTGCTGGGAATCCATCTCAATGGATTTCGTCTTCGGGTTACCCAAAGACGCACGCGGGAATACGGGTATTCTCGTATTTGTTGACAGATTCAGCAAAATGGTACACCTTGTGGCTGTACCAGAGACAATCACGGCAAGTGGCTGTGCTTGTGTCTTTATTGACACCATCTTCCGACTTCATGGGTTGCCTCGTGAACTCGTATCAGACAGAGATCCACGATCCACTGCTGATTTCTGGCGTTCCGTGTTCAAATCACTCGGAACGCGCTTGAAGATGCCGACATCTGATCATCCAGAGTCAGATGGTCAGACGGAACGAGCCAATCGTGTCCTTGAAGAGATACTTCGAGGATACGTACACTCCTTTAAGAGTTGGAGTGAGTTTTTGCCAATGGTAAAGTTTGCCATTAACAACTCGGTGCATGCGTCCACAACACATACACCGTTTTACGTGAATGGCTTACGCCATCCACGTGTACCCACCTTACTAGAAGTGTAACTCTGGTTTAAGGGGGGGAGGGAATCGCGCGAGCAAAAACCGATTTGTTTCACGCTCATCACGCTCTGAAGAAGAGGTTATTTGCGTTTGATGCCGATATCGGTGACATCGATATCGAAGAAGATGATGCCAGTGAGAGTGCGGAATCCCTCACTGAAGAAGATCATGCCAGTGAGAGTACGGAAGCCCTCACTGAAGAAAAGATCGATGTTGCTGCGGTGCGCTCACAGCGCACTGAAGCTAACGAGTCAGCAGATGAGTTCATACTGGCTCGTGAAGCGGTAGTCCGTTTTGTGCAAGACTTTATCGCCGAAGCGGTGGATAAGCAAAAGCAACACGCTGACAAGAATGGAAGGGCAAACACTCTTTTATTTAATAAAGGTGACTTAGTCCTACTGTCTACGGTTAATCTACCAAAGCATGTAGTGACTAACTTGGGTAGCAGTAAACTACTACCCAATTACATTGGCCCATTTCGTGTATTGCATCGCCTAGGCAATGCATACACGATCGAGTTGCCACGTAAGACGCGAACGCATCCCACGTTTTACATTGGTCGGCTTAAGCCGTACCATCAGTACGCTGCTTCTTCCGAAAAAGAACGCCCTTGCGCTCAAGCATCTCACAGAGAGCCTTGTGCTCCCGATGGTGGG